AAATGAAACAAAATATAAAAAGAAAAAGGTGAAGAAAATGGGCCTGAAAGTAATTTAGAGGGGGTGCAGATAGCAAGCTTGGGCCCAACAATCTGAAGTCCATGTTGACTTCCAGGATCTGATGCTACGTGTTAACTGCAGCCCATGATGGTCCCTCATGTGATGGCCCTTGGATCTGGCCATCTGGCCACTTGGCAGGCTGGATGACGAGGTCACATGATGGACCTTGGCTTCATGCGCGCGCTGGATTATCTACAAGAAAATAACATGAAGAAAGTGGGGGACCTGGGATTCGAACCCAGGCCCCAAGGCATGTTCCCCTGACTTGGCCACCAGCTGAGCTAATTGTTTTTGTTGTACATAAAATAAGCATAAAATATAATATGGGAAACAACAACGCATTAACTCTCTGCGCGCGGAAATTCAAATGATCCAATGGGAAGGTGCCAGCTAATCATCTTCTTCCCTTCTCCATGGGTAAAAGTCCCAGACATTTACCTATGGACATTCGTTCGGCACTACAAACCTGCGTTCTCTTAAAATCAACCATGAGCAAGATAAATAAAAACTAGGGCCGCCACTCAATTCGTCTGGACCTTCTGAGTATAATGGCGGCCCTTTCATGGCTTAATTTTGCCTGCACACAGAATTCCCAAATCGAAGCTACAAACCCTAATAATGGTGAAACTTCATATAGGCCATGAAAACACAATTAAAGATTACAGAAAGCTTGCAAATGTTCCCAGGAGTAAGAATCTATAACTATTTCGTGCTACAAGTAGAGGAATGATGCAATTCGAATTCAAGAAAATAGCAAAGTCGTGACTGACTTACAACACTTTTTGGTACTGGAAAGGCTTTGTTCTTGATTGATTTCGCTTGCTTACAACCCCAGGAAGCGATTGGGACAGCTAAAAGGCCTTGAGGATGCCTGGAAGTATGAATTTGTGTCTATACTTTTTGGTGTTTTTTCAAGTTTTTGTTCTGGTTCATACGCCTCTCTCTAGCCTAGTTTTAGGTCTACACATCATCCTTATGTACTGAGGAATGAATTAGGGTTGAAAACCTGGCCTCAATCTTCCTCCATCAATGTCTTTGATCTTGATTTGATTCACTTTAAAATCATTCCAAAAATAGTCCAAATCCAATCTTTTTGTGCACTCCATGCCTTTACATGAATTTAATCTTATGCTAGCTGGAATTTAAGACCTGAAACATGTAAAAAATCTTGAGTTTTCAATATTTTGGATTTTCTATGATTTGTTTTGATTTAAATTGATTTAAATTGATTTAATTCAAATAGAAAACAAAATAAATAATAAAAACAAGATAATGACAAGTGGCAAAGGCTAGGGCTTGTGGACCATGTTGCCAATTCAAAACAAGTGCAAAAGATTGGGCCCATTTGGCAAAAATTGAAGTTTTAGGCATAGTTGACTTTTGACAAATTTGCAAAAAAGGTCAACTTCACCAATGCATAACTTCCTCAATTTTGACTCTTTGAAGGTGTTCTTAGACTTTTTAGGTGTTCCTAAACAACCCTTTTTGTCTCATCTCAATTTGATATTCCATGCTCATGTATGAAGCTTTGACAAAAAAGGTGTTTTTGTTGACTTTTCAAAATTACCTATAATGTCCAAATTCATAACTTTTTGTGAGTTCATATTTTGAACTTGGGAGATGAAGATGGATTGTATATCATGGCATCCTCTTCAAAATGAGCTTTGGATGGGTCATTTATCATAAAGTATGAGAAAGTTATGCTTGGTCAACGTTGAGTTGACTTTTCCTATAAAACCCTAATTTAGCAACTTTCGGTTCTTGATGAATTATGAGCAATACTTGATGAATCATGATAAACACTTGATCAAATGATGAAATATACTTCAAAATGAGGATGTTGACCAAAAATCTTGAAGTTTGACTGTATGTGAGCCACAATTGACTTTTGCCCTAGCACAATCTATTTTCAGGCCTTTGAGCAATTGACTGAGCAAACTTTCTCTGTAGGGCTTGAAACTTGACAGGGATGATCTTGAGAACACATTAGGACATTGGTGATCATTTGGGATCCCTTGGAATCAAGTATCTTGATGCAATATGAAACCATAATTAGAGGTAGACTGCCTTAGGAGGGAGCTTGTCTAGTCAACCCTTGGACTACCTTGAGCAACTTAAGGATCTCACTTGAAGTGTTTTGAGAAACATGGGAGGGAAAATTTTTGGGTACAACACGTGTATGCGCAAGTTTTATGATATTCTACAAGAATCATAAGTTCACTCTTGCCATCAAGCTTCCTTCTTCTCGCATCAGGAACATGCTTGTAACACATAAAGCCAAACACCTTCAAATGAATAACTGATGGTCATTTACCATCCCACACTTCTTCAGGAACCTTGTTCTTCAATATCTTGGTAGGGAACCTGTTTAGAATATAAACTACAGTCAAAACAACTTCACCCCATAAGAATTTTAGCAAAATTTTCTACTTCAACATGCATCTCGCCATATCCAATATGACCCCGTTACTTCTTTATGCAATTCCATTATATTGAGGCGTATAAGGAGCAGTTACCTCAAGATTGAGACCATGTTATTCACAGAAATCTTCAAACATCTTGGATGTGTATTCGCTACATTCATTTGTTCGTAGAATTTTAAACTTCTTCTCACTCTACTTTTCGACAAGTATCTTGAATCTCTTGAAATTTTCAAATACTTTATCCTTTCGCTTAATCACATAGATCCACTACTTTCGACTAAACTTCTTGACAAACAAAATAAAATATTTATTTCTACAAATGGGCCACATACATTTGAATGTACCCTTTGATCATGTAGGATAATCTCATTGGTATAGTCGAAACAAAGGAATTTCTGCACTGCTTTCCGACTAAACAACCTTCAGAGTTTGTCAGGCATCACAAGAGTTGGTATGCCATTAACCATCTCTTGAGTAATCAACTGATTGAGTGATTGAAAGTTCAAATGTTCAAACCTCAAATGCCACAACCAACCCTCCTTGTGGTCGACAACTATTTTCAAACATTGAACTTTTGTCGAACTGATCATAGTTTTAAGCATCTTGTTTTTTGAAAGAGGAGATTTCAAGACCAAATTGTTCTGGGTGTCGAACAATTTTAAAACTCCATCTTTCATGACAATTGAGAAACCTTTTTCGACCAGTTGTCCAATACTTAGCAGACTGCACTTTATTCCAGGTACACAGAGCACATCTTTGATCATATCTTTCCTTCCATTATTCACTTGAAAGACTATGTAGTTAATACATTTTGCTTACAATGAACTATTATCAACAAGTTTTACCTTGCTCTTCTTCAACTCATCGAAATATGCCAACCACGCCTTTTGACCAATCATGTGATTCGAACAACTTGAGTCGAGGAACCAGATCTTAGATTCGACATAGTTATCTGCTACTGTAGCCATAACCATCATACCTTCAGAATTATCTAACTCTTGGCGTGCAAAGTTCGTTCATTCGTTCTTTTCTATCGATCCCCTGTCTTTTCTATACCAACAATTCTTGGAGAAGTGACCCCACTTTTAATAGTTATAACACTGCACACTTTTTTTATCTTCTTTGTCCTTTTGATAGTTTTCTCCTCCTCTTTTCGAGGATTCAGAAGTCCTATCATCGACCTTATTCTTGTGGGAATTCGACCAAGACTTCTTGCCCTTAGTCTTGTCAAACTTGTCATTGAATTTGTTGGAACCGCCATTCTTTTTCCATGATTGAGCCTACAAAGCTTGTATCGAATCCTGAACTCATTTCCTTTCGATAATCCTGATCTCATGAGCTTCCAACGAACCAACCAAATCTTCCAATTTTAGGGTTTTAAGTTGATTGGATTCTTGAATAACTACGATAACACGATCAAAGTGAGAGGTCAACGTACATATTACCTTCTCAATTATTATTTTATCAGTTAGGGTTACACCACAATCCTTCTTGAGATGGACAAGTTTCTGAACCTTCGATACATACTCTGCAGTCTTCTCTCATCGACAATAATTCATATTGTCGATGCAAGGTCTGCAACTTGACAACCTTGACTTTCTCACCTTCTTCATAGTACTTGATAAGAATATCGCATGCCTTCTTCGTCAATTCAGCATGAGAGATCTTTTCAAAGTTCGCCACATCTACTGCCGTCTGTATGCAATACGCAGCCTTGCAATCCTTGTTTTTTGTTACATTTGCAGCCAGCGCAGAAATGCCATTGGTAATCACTTCTAGGATTTCATGAAGGCCAAACAGAGATTGCATTTGTTTTCACCATCGAATCCAATTATTGTCGTCAAGAGTTGGAAGAGAATTCATAATGTTATTGTTACCATTCATCTTCGCAGCGATTGCTAGTGAACAACCCACAATTCTAGAAATACGATATCTGACGTGTGATTCTTGAAAACACGATCAAGAATCTAACCGAAACTCTAGATACAAATTTGTTAGTGCATGAGACACTTTTAGTAAAGGGAGAAAGAGAGAATAAAGAATATGAAGATTGTATTATTGAATTGAATTATTACAAATAATATTTCAAACTAGTCTATTTATATATAATTAATTTGTACACTAAATAGACTAACAAATTCTAATTAAACTTGAGCTTAAATTTCATAATTTAAATTATATTTAATATTATATTTAATATTTCAACAAAATACACCTCAACCAAATCACTTATAATATTTTCTTAAACACATTTGATTTGAAAAGGAGGCGACAAAAATTAAAAGAATGGTTATTTGACTCGTTTGATATAACACAACAAACTCCTAATCAATTTAAAATAGCACCCCGCATGGTTTTGAGCTGAATTTTTTAATGAAATATTCAATAATTGTTTATACAATTTAAATACTCAACGAGTGGTTCTGCTTCGTACAACACAGCTGAAACGATAAGTGTTAATGCTATTTCAACAAAAAGTCAAAAACAGGTTTAATTTCTCATACAATCATCATCATCATGGAGCATGATGCTTCTGCTACACCTAAGGGTTGATCAATTTCTTCATATATTTTTCTGTTTTGGTCAATGATGTTATTCAAAATCTAAACATCTTCAATTATCTTCCTTATTACTGTATTCCGCTATTTGATGTTTGTATTATTATGGAGGCAAAATAGATCTTACTTTGATTATGGATAGAATAGAAACCAGATTGAATGATCGTGTTTCTCTCTTTATGGTTTCATATTTTATTTGCTCTTATACTTGTTATGCTAGCTTCAGAAGATAGAGACAACAAGTTCCTAACAAAAGCTGTTGAAGAAGCATATAAAGGTGTTGAATCTGGTGATGGACGACCATTTGGAGCAGTCATTGTTCAAAATGATGAAGTTGTTGTTAGCTGTCATAACATGGTTTTAAGGAACAAAGATCCTACTGCTCATGCTGAGGTTATTGCTATAAGAGAGGTCAAATTCATTTTATTAGTGTCTGTGTTGTGTTTGGTGTCAGGGCTTCGTAGAATTTACGCGTCGATTTCATATAATTGGAAGTTATCATCTGCAGGCTTGTCAAAAGCTGGATCGAATTTGCCTTGCTGACTGTGAAATCTATGCTTCTTGTGAACCTTGTCCAATGTGTTTTGGTGCCATTCATTTTTCAAAAATTAAGGCAAGCCTTCAACCTCTCTTCAAACCACACATTTCTCTAACCTCTTTTAAATTGATCTCATATTTGTTTCATTCACATCAAGCAGAGACTGGTTTATGGAGCCAAAGCAGACGTTGCGGTAGCTATTGGATTCGATAGTTTTATTGCTGATGCACAGAAGGACACTAGTTCTCATCAGAAGTCTCGGTTGGAGATCAAAAAGATAGAAGGTACTGCAGCTGCACTTGCGGAACAAGTATTTGCGAACACAAAGGGCGAGTATACTCTCTAGATTACAATAAAGATGCATTTGGCATTGCTATGGCATTTCAAAATAAGCATTGACATGTTTCTGATTCATGTAATATATGATACAAAAGATTGTACAATTTGGAACTACTCTACTATTTTTTGTGCTTGTATTGCCTCAGTCAACCTAAGCTAGACCTCAAATCCTCCAACCTAGTCTTGATCTGACCCTGCAACAACTCCAACCGATCCAAATACACTTCTAGCTCCAAAATCCTCCGTTTTAACAATTGTTCATCTCTCGCTTCTTCGGTGGATAACAACATTGGCAACACGTCGAGTGGCTCTGCCGGAGCATCATCCAATAGTTCCTTCAGCAATGGCGAGAAACAGGACCTCATGGTTTCCTCAATGAATCTATGAATACTAGTAGTAGCATCATCATTGTCTGCTGCGAGCCTCGCACGCTTGTGCACCCTATTGTCCGTTTTTTCACAATTGTCAACATGTTCAGCTTTCATCTTAATGTTGTCAATAAGATCAAGACTGTCGGGAACAGGTCTAGATTCATCAACTTCCAAAACATCATGGTCTGTGTCATTGCCCCAAATCTTGCTGGAAATATCGAAAATGGCTTGTTCGTGGGAGCTCTTGAAAGAAACCTGAACATCTTTGCATTTGTCCAAAACCATCTTGTGTTTTCTTTTTAACCTACGTAGCTTCTCAACAATCCGGTTCCTGTTAAAATCCGCGCTGAATTTTGGCATAAGTTGATCATAGAACGAAGCTACGTGGCTTTGAAGAGTAGTGGTTGTTCTTCCTTGTTGCTTGATGTAATCCAGATATCCCTTCAACAATTCTATCTCATCTTGCTTCGTCCATATCCGTTGATATTGTCTCGCCCCACCAGAATACTTGTTGTGTTGACGTTTTGAGCGCGTTTCTTTAGTAGTGGTGGCAGTGTTTGTGTAATCTATAGGGGCAGGCAAGGCCACCGTCACAGCGGGGGAGGCATCAGAAATGGCAAGTCCAATGGGAATGTTGTCATCATCCACATCGTCCATTTGGTCTTCAACATTGTCGTTTTGAAAGTTTTCATAGTCTGATTCGTCATTGCTAATGTCAAGATTTTCATGTTCGTCTTCTTCTTCAGATGATGATGAGGAGGAAGAAGACGAGGTTGACAAAATCCAAGAAACCAATGGTGAAAACATTGTTGAGGAGAGAACATATTTCCCCTTTTCCACATATTAGAATATTGAACAAACCGCTGATGGTAGTTATGCATTTACTATGATTAGAATGGTTATCTATAATTTCCACAATTATAAATGGACAAAGAACAGCTTAATCAGTTCGACAATAACGGTCTTGATTTTAGGTAGTCTTTTGTATTTTTTAAAATCTGTTGGCAAAAGAATACGACAAGTACGAGATACGAAGTGAGTATAGATAGGTATTCAATCCATATAACCATTTTTCCGCATTTAGTGTTTAATTGTGATTTGAATTAGGTTACATCCCGTTGAGAGAACATACGAGTAACCAAAGAAAACAATAATATGGTAAAACTGGAAATTGCTAATCCCACCATCACTAGTGGAAAAGCACACTATAAAAAACTAAAAATATCCTATCTGATTTTGGAAATGTATCTTCGAATATATCATGTGTTTCATCAAATCACGTACATTTGAGTTGATCCCATATTATTCAATGAAACACCCTCTTTTAACATAACTTGATCCAAAAGATGTATATTTGTATTCACATCATACAAAATCTAGAGATGCATCTTTGAAATCACACCAGACATAATTCATAGATGCATATCTGAAATCACACCAGATAGAATCCAGAGATGCATATTCGTATTCACACCATACAGAATTTAAAAATACATCTCAGGAATGACATCCCGAAATACCACTGGATGTAGCCGTGTATGTCACTCTAGTCGCTAAGAGCTATGATACTATGTGCCTCATCTGGTATCAGATGATTAAGATAATCATCAAACATGTTATCCATATCTCTACTTGTCATAGCGGAAAGAGCAAACTAAAAAGGGTCTCTGAGAATAAATTGCATGTAACTGAACTGTCGCTTGACGCACTCAAACATATGAGGATACATCAGACGTGAACTATGTCGTCAAATGGATGGTCTCACGGTGATTGACGTACGTATAAAAGTGTATATCATCTGCTACCAAGCGATCAAGATACACTTTGTATGGCTTTGTCGCCTGATTCTCTCTGAGTGGACTGAATGCAGAAGTATGTGGCATATCCTCAGTGTAGATCGACACACATGACCATCCGAATATGTGTGGGAAATACTAGAGGATCCAAGCCTGAAAATGCTACATATGAATCATTAGTAATGGTTTGCAAAAGTGTTATGAAAATGACACACAAACACTAAAAGATGCATAAATATCACTTTTGTACCCCAAAATTTGCCCTCTCATGTTTTCCAAAGTCCCCCCCTGCATGGCTGATCACAAACTCTTGCCTAAGGAAAAAGAAATTTTTTGAGTGGTGCTTTAAGTACCTTTCGATTGGCATTTTGAAAGGCCCTTCTATTGGTATTCTAAAGGAGCATTTCGATTGGTATAGACAAGCATTTCAATTGGCATTATGTCAAGGTCTTCGATTGGCATTCTGAAAGGCCCTTCGATTGATACTTTGAAGGGACACTTCGATTGGCATTATGGACAAGCACTTCGATTTGCATTCTGAAAGACCCTTCGATTGGGATTCTGAATGAGCCTTTCGATTGGCACCCTGGGCCAGACCTTCGATTGGCATGCCAAGGGATCCTTCGATTTAGCATTGTGTCAAGGCAGCTTCGACGGGCATGTTAGCCATGTCCTTCGATTAGCATGAACAACACCTTTCAATTGGCCTGTTAACAAAGCCTTTCAATTGAAATTTTAATTAGTACCCTTCGATTGATCTTTGGGCAAGGGCCATTCGAAGGAGGTCATCAAGAGGGCACTCAAATCAAAAGTGTCCAGGTTCATTCAAGAGACATGAATATTTCAAAAAAGGAAAACTTTTAATGTGTCCGTTTCTTGTCTCATGGCATTTAATGGCCTGTTTAATGGTTGTCTCTTGCCATTACTGCACCCTCACACCCATATAAATACAGAGGCCAGCATACACATTACAACACACAAAAAACTCTGCAGGAAAAATATACAGAAAAATAGAGAAAAGAAACAGGGAGAACTTGGAGATACGCTGCCCATACAATCCTTCAAAGGTTGTCAGAATTTTCCAAGCCAGAGCAGTCCTTCAGATCAAAGGTGCCCACACCCAGAAGCCCTTAGATCAAAAGTGCCTACATCCAGGAAGTGCCCAGATCGAAGGTGCCTACATCCAGGAAACGCCCAAATTAAAAGTCCAATTTGCTGGTAAGAAAGGGTAAACTATCCAACTTCATATTTGCATAATACATCCATACTGATTGTTACCTTCGATTTTCTATCCTAGAAAGGATCAAGAGGCCTGGGTTTGACACCCAAGCCATGTCCATCATTTGCTAATATTTGCTGCAGACATAGCCTGAAGAGACCCAGCAAGCGCAGGATCGAAGGGCCTGGGGTTCAATACCCAAGCCCTGAGTTTTATTTTGCTAACATACTTTTGCAGGTATAGCATCCCAGATCGAAGAAGACACCTTCTCTGGATCAAAGCTCCCCATAGTCCTCCTGGATCGAAGAAGGCATTTTTCCCAGGATCGAAGGGAACTCCCCTCCCTGGATCGAAGGCTGTTCATGCCCACTTCCTGGCCCAATCGAAAGAACCATGACCCTGTCTGGATCGAAGCGTCCATTTCCTCCCTGGATCGAAACCCCCTTTTTTCCCTGGATCGAAGGATTCCCCTTGTATTTTATTTTTGCTTTCATTGACATCTTTTATCTTTTTAATTAACATTAAAACATAAAATCAAAAAAAAAAAAACATTAGGCTAGTTTTTTCTATAAAATTAACTTTGTTAATTAATCTTTTAATTATTTTAACATTTTTCCCAAAAACTAAAATTAAGTAGATTTAGATCATTTTCCTAAAATAAAACAACAAAAAGATTTTATTCTTAGAATTTTTAGAGTTTATTTTCAGATTCGCGCGCGTTTATTTTATTATAACTGTCTACTGGTTTGTAATAGCTTAAATTAAGACTTTTACTTTACTGCTTTTATTCCCCCAATTTTTGGACATGTAAATAATCCCCCTCCCCGAAGCCTTGTAATAGCGTAGGATTTACAATTCCCGCACTTTAAATTCATGTACATATATTAACTGCTTAGATGTATGCTAACTAGGATTGTATGACAAGATTAACTCTTAACTTAAAATCAACAGTAGCTCACCATGACATGTAAAGATAATATAAACTGAAAACTGACACACTCGCACATGTCACTCTTAGGGTACGCCTCACTTAGTTGCCTCGAGCGTGGTCATTAAGTATATGATGTTTTAGAGGTCGTCCTTCTGTCCAAAGATCAAAGTTGCCTCGAAATGGTTGCCTCGATAAAATGATCTAAGACATTAGGATTACCACTAAAGCGTCCTAACATTGCTTTAGTGACTACACGTCCCTAAAATCGAATTGACCCGAAAACTCCAACGACGGTGCTACCTACTCCTCAATAGTGGGATAGCACTGTCTAAAGGACATTTGCATAATTTAATTCCTTTTTGAGTAGGTAGAGGTTCTTAAGTACTTGCTCATCTTAAAAACAAAACAAAACTTTTCGCACTTACACTCTCTTCAAAAGCAAAACTCTTTTCAAAAACTCACAATCACAAAGAAAAACAAACTTTTGAAAACATAGTGAGTAAGTACCTAAGAGCCCGTGGATAACCACAGATAGAAAGGGTGCTAACACCTTCCCTTTCTATAATCTACCTCCCGAACCCGAGAAACATCTCGAAAAGGAATTTTTCTGTGCTTTTGTCCTTTCCTTGTTGGATAAAATAAAAGACGGTGGCGACTCTTGCTTACCGCGACACTTTGTGAAAACAAATGCAAACGCGAACCAGCATTAAAAAACAGTCAGTTCTCATTCCCATCGATCACAGAACTGGCGACTCTGCTAGGGAATTATAAGTGAGGTGTACCTTAGGATTAGATCACTTGTGTTTTCAATTGTATGCTTTGTATGCTTTTAATTTTGTGGGCTTGTATTGGAGTTCTATAGATCCTAACCCGGATCTGGGGTACCATTTTTAGGTAAGTAGCAATAAATTGTGAGGGATCTGTTTGGCGTAGACCGACACGGATGAAGCAGTAGCTACGTTGGTGTGACACCTTGGTCTGTACCGATATCCCTTGTGTTGAAACGAGGAGAATATGAGTCTTCTAAGGAGTCATTAAGCACCAACTGACCTTAGAACCTTAAATTGACCAACTTGGTCATAGAACAGTAGCAGTGTGCTACACTCATTGAGACTAAACTCTCGCGATGATTCCGGCTGCAAGAAAAGGTTGCTAAACTGGAATTATGACCGATTGAGGATAGTCAGTGATATTGAGATCCTCTAAAACCCGGTTACTATTTTTTAGGACAAATCTTAACCAACTGAAACTGAAAGAGGGTAATACCTAAACTCCATGTCAGCCTGAAATCTAAGGGCTCTTTTGTGTGACTTGTGTGTCTTCAAACTTGAACTACTTGCACATACTTGTTATCTGACAACAGGGGTTCCTTGCAGGTTTTGTTTACAGTCCTTATCCAATAATCTGGATTTATTGCAGGGCTTACTTACATCATCTCACACTTGTGCTTAAACACATAGCATACACATCATAACATCATGCTTTAGCATTTCTTTAACCATTTCAAGGATCTCAAGGGTCTGTGATGCAGGTTATGGTAAATCAAATGGCTAGCAAGGGGCAAAGGGGATTTATTTTCCTCTAGCCAAGGTTGTCTAGAAATCTAAGCATGATAACTTGAGTCAGTGGCTATGACCCACTCGATATGGTGAGCTTGACTCTTGAAGAAGGACTCTCAGCAACATGAAGTTCCTTCAATCAAGCTACCAGACTCAAATTCTAACAGTTTCTTGTTTACCCCGTGAGATCCTTGAAAACATTGCATACATATATCATACATATCATTGCATAACAGGTCTCCCAATACAGGTCTCTCATCTTCTTCGTTGTTTATTTCAGCAATCATCATGTCTACTGAACC